AACTTTCTAAAATGGATTAGCCAAAGATTAGCTATTTTTAACATTTTTTAATTTCATTTGACTCTTTACCTCTTTCTCGTAAGCTACGATCAACCCTTTCAAAAATTGTTCGTGCGGTAAACGTTGATTTGGATATGTATCAGAATAAATTCTTCTTGCCTCAACACAATTGCCGAGTACTTGTCCATAAATTATGTAGATGCATATCAGCATATTCGTTATAGGAATAATGCTCTATTACTTAGTTTTGTGTACTCAATTGATCAGACAATTTTGACAAGTGACATAAAAACGACTGGTGTTTTATTGCAGTATTCTGATTTATTATTTCAACGACGTGTTATACAAAAACTTAATTTTTTCGAAAACAGCTAATTTTATCGAATCAAATATAGAGTACCTTTTTTAAAGAGGAATGATCAAGGTATTTTAAAATTCAGTATTCAGACCTATGACACCTGTCAAAATTTTGGACCAACGAGTGTGGTTGCTAGTCCGTTCCTGACTTCCCTGACAGTGTAAAACATCTACTCTAGTATGGCTTTATGAGCCTTTATGACATACATAATAGTTATTTACGTTACAAGGCCGGGAAATGGTATATTAAAGTACAAGTCTAGATGTTTACGGACGAGGCGACGAAGGAGCCGAGTCAGGAATTTCTAGACGAGTACTTTAATGACATTTCACGGCCGTGTATCGTACAACGTTTTATTTCATAATGTGTTGTATTAAAAATGAAATATTAATGTTTTATTTTACATAACCTGCCTGTATGTAGGTATTAGCGTGGTTTCGATTCTTGTTTTATCGCATAGCTTTTGATTTAGCTTAGTGATGTAAAAACAAAAATAACAAATTTGGCAGTTTGTCACCCCGTGCGAATTTTGTGATAATTTTCGTAAAAAATTGAAGAAATCGAGCTAAAATATGCTGAAGCAACAAGTAAATTGGTGCCTACGAAGCCTTCTGCTCGTTACGAGAAGGAATACCAGTTCTTCAACGTGTGTTTTTTTAAAGCAGTCCGGGAAGTAAAAATTTTCCGGACTCAGTACTGTAATGAGTTATTTCCCGGACTTAAATGAGTCCGAGAAATAACTCATTACAGTACAGTATGAAATAAAATATTAAAACTTCATTAAATTATACACGTTGATTCAAAAGTTAGAGCCGAAAAGGTAAATCGTTGGCTACACTTTTGGGGCTCTGTATCTCCACTTTAAATTTTTTATGACAAACTATGGTTATTTTGACCTCCCCTATACACTCCCGAGCGTATGACATATACTTACCAGACACCCTGTATATTTAGTAAAACTTTCATTCTTGCTCCAATAGCCATTCGCGAAAATTAACCCGGTCCTGTGGTTACTATGCTTGTGCACAACGAATTTGATTTGATTTTCGTGGAGAGCTTTACAAACAATGCTATGGGTTGTATTAATTTTATCTTGTGTTATTCGTAAGTTGTTTTTCGATGATGAGAATTTCTTCCTCTATCTGTAACCTCCGACTTGGTCATGTTTATCCCACATGACTTCCACCTTCCACAGTTTTCTTGTAGCTTTCTATTATCACTGAACTTACGCTAAATATTTATTATCAATTCCATAAAAAAATTGCTCGAGAATTGAATAGCTTTATAGAAAAAAAGTAAGAGGAAAAGTTTATCTAACTTTGTTAGTTTTTAAATTAACGATTACACAAAAATACTTCTGTCACAGACAACAATACGTGACTTATAACAACGATAAATCAAAAACTTTAAATCTGAATTACGAAGTACCTCAAGGTTTTGTTCTGGGATCGCTGTTATTTCTATTATATATAAACGATTTTCCAATTTCCGTAAGGAACGACGTGTTCGCGATTCTTTTTGCCGGTGGTGCTAACTTATTCATAGCTAATAATGTTTTGGATGATCTGATAGTGGATATTCCAATAATGGAGGATAATGCATCACATTGGTTCACATAAGTTATGCCTAAACGCCTCTAAGACCGAAAGAATGATATTCAGTTTGCGTGTAATTTACGATATAAACAATCCTGATGCAGTAAAACTTTTGGGAATATATTTGGATCCGAAATTGTAATGGGACAGACACGCCCACTACCTCTGCATTAAGATCTCCATAGGAATCTATTTACTGCTCAATTTGTATAGCAAAGTATTTCAACAGACGTTAAATACTGCTTATTACCAAGTACGTATGTACATACTCCAGTGTCTTTAATAAAGAAAATGAAGAGTTGTTTACAGTAGCCAAATCGATTCTTATGGCACTAGAAATAAAAATGATATAGACATAAATTTTATCGCTTAAATAAAACACGTAATGGAACATCATATCTGGGGCATCTAGTTTTTTAATGCTTTACCAGCTCCAATACGTCATCTCAACCTTACATTATTTAAGGGGAAAATAAAAACCTTTTAAACAACGCATTCTATACTATGAAAGAATTTTTAAAAGTGATTCTCACCCTAATATGTTTAATTTAGACGTAGGCTTCGCACATTTGAGTTGCATTGTTTCCGTTTTCTTCATATTAATTATACATTGCCTAGAATCTTATTTTAAACTTATTTTAACCTGTATCATTTACTGTTTGCTTTACTAACAAATATTTCGTTTTAACATTTGACAACCATTTATTGCTTGCACTTATAATTTTTGTTATTTTATTACCATATTCTTTTTTATATTCTGTACTAATAACGTGTTAACACTGGTGTATATGCGTGTGCACTATGTGTAGCATGTTTTACAATTTTTTTCAAAATGATTTTATACCATTACAATTCTCTTTATGTGAAGTGTGTAGACACTTTTTGTGTAACACTAATAAATATCTATCTATTTAAAAAAATAAATGTATAAGAAACTCAAGCATTTTTAAAAATAAATCATTCAAATTTTGTAGATAAAGGTGATGCTAAATTTGAATATACAGGATTAATATTTAGATAAAAAAATTGCTAATACATTTTATTAAATATTAAGTGTTTTCAGATTTATTGCAAAAATTAACATTAAAAAAAGAAAATTATTTGATTCCAGAAATTCACTACAACACATTCAAAAACTAATAAATAATACTGTTTATTTATTGTTAATGTAAAAAAACAAAAACAAACATTAATGTCAATGTAGATGTTCAAAATACTCGCCGCGAACATCTTGGCAACATCCTAATCTTAAATAGAAGTTTCTTCTAAGGTTACTCAATGTATCAGGTGTGACCGATCTAATCGCAAGCGTTATTCGTCTTCTTAAGTCAGCGAAGTCGGGGGGTTTAGTATTGTATACAATACTTTTGTCATATTCCCATAAGAAGAAGTCTAATGATCTCAGATCAGGACATCATGCTGGCCATTCCATCGATCCACACCTCCGTATCCACCGATTTGGAAATATTCGATTGAGGTAGCGCCGGATATTGATTTGGTAATGGAGCGGTGCTCCATCTTGCTGAAACCATATCATATTCGCTGGAACTTGTGGGTCAGGATATAAGTTTGTCAAAGTTGGCACGACATTATTTTGAAGCAGTGCTAAATAATTATCTCCATTCAAATTTCCTTCAATGAAAAGGGACCTATGATATGATCTCCAACAATTCCTGCCCAAACATTAACCTTTTCAGAGTATTGCGTATGTTTTTCTGTAATCCAGTGAGTATTTGCATTAGACCAATCCCGACAATTTTGACGATTAGCACGACCGTGAAGTGTAAAGGTGCACTCATCAGAAAACAAAACATGTTCTAATTGTTATCTAACATTGCCACAATTTGTTCACAAAAATAAGTTATCCCATCAAAATCGTCTTCCATGAGCTCCTAAGTTGGTTTCATTTTATAGGGATGCATTTTATTTTCTTTTAATATTCGAATAATCGATGAATAGCTAACATCGAACATTGGGGCTGCTTTTCGACTGGAAGTATGTGGGCTTTCCTCAAACTCAAGCAAGCATTTGATATCATCACTTATTGTATTGGCAGCTGCTTTTTTATCTGCCTTACATGTCCAAGCTCGCGAAACTACTTTTTTATTTTTGTCCCTTGGGATATAGGCGGCAAATTTGGAAATCTTTCATGAAATAAGCGAACTTGTGTCCGTGTGTTATCTCCATAACCAATCATCTGGAGAATCTTTATTTTGTGCATTTCTTTTAAATGAACCTTTAAATGAACCATTTTTCTGATATGCAATTAACGAAATTCAAACGACTATAACACTGACAACTACTGTCATGCAGGCAGACAACACGTTGTTAAGGCCAGGCGTTTTAAACAAAAGTAAACAAAACGAGTTAGAGTTTTTTTTTATTTCAGTAAAAAGGAACGCTGAAATGGTTTTTGCTTGCTTCCTGATTATCAAGAGCTAAATAGGAAATAAGTATTGAGTGTGTTGTAGCGAATTTCTGTAATCAAATAATTTTCTTTTTTTAATGTTGATTTTTGCAATAAATCTGAAAACACTTAATATTTTCGAAACAGTTGAAGATAGGTATAGGACATTGTACATGAAATATGTCTAGAATTTTCTGAAGAATCCAAAAATTGTATAATATGCAGGGTGTTGCGTTTAAAATAAGAAAGTTGGTATTGACCACTGTTACATGACACACCCTGTATAAAAAGCTTTTGTTGAAAGAAATGCGCAACTAAAAATACCAATCGACGTATCCAAACACGCCCCCATTTATTTATTATTAAATTTATTCCAATTGGCTGATACACACTGTATACGCGGTCAAAGAAATTTGAAACACAGTACATATATATGTTAGAATTTAGAACTTTACATAACTAATCAGGTGAACCGTTCCATATCAACAATACTGACAATTTAATGTGAATTAATCCGCAGCTAATTAAAAGTTGGGGTTTGATCACGACGTCCACCAAACGCAACTAATTCAATTACGGCGCACACGCTATATTACACACATTACGTTTGCCCGTTTAATTTTTCGCTTTAACTTTACAGAGATCCAATTTAAAATGGGACATCCCAAGCCGCCCGAGTCGGTCTGCAGCCTGCCTTGTGATATGGGCCAGGCGAAAAAGTATGTCGAGGGAGAGAGTTGCTGCTGGCACTGCTTCAACTGTACCCAATACCAGGTAACTAATTACCTACTTTATTCCCAAAAAGAATTAATTACCTGTAAAATGCTCTGGACATGGTCCGGCAAATTTATAGGGCGAAAGGGCCGGGTTCTGCATTGAAAAGTTAGCCTTTGATGAAACCGGGAAAAATGATCGCGTTTCAACATGTATCGAAATTAAAATATAAAATTCAATTAAAAAGTTTCAAAACGCTCTTAACCATATTTCAGTATTAATAGTGTTATTCGTTGCATAAATGAGTTCGAATCTGATCAAAATTAAAGTTTGGTTTAGTTTTAAGTTGTATTTGCTTGTTGAAGGAAAATAAAGAAATCAATAGAATGAAAAAATAATTATTTTAACCACAAATTGCTTAAAAATTTAGAAATTCAATTGATGTTATAGAACTTAATAGCCAAAATATAAATTGTTTTTCAGATTTCATATATCTACCATATTCTTTATAACATTTTATAATTTATATTTGTTCGCAGTAGTCATTTTATTAGACAAAAATTATTTAAAATTATTATACAGAGAGATCCAGAATGATTGAAGTGTTTGGAGATCGCAACCTGTGCCTGTCTCTGTCAATACTACGGATTTTTATATGCTAAAGGTGGTGTTAGAAACAGGCTGCGCTCCCCAAACGCTTCAATCATTCTGGATCTCTCTGTAGTTAACTTACAGTGAATCTTGAAATAATAAACGTGACACTATTTATTGCAAGTTCGGACACTAAAGTATGGGAGCAATTATACAAGTTATAAACAATAATAATATAATAAAAGTCATACAGCTATGGTTGTTTCATTAATTGAATGATGCATTTGCTTCCCGGGTATTTGGTTTTGTTCTGTTCGCAGGGGCGTTTTCCTTGCGCGAGATAACTTTTGTGCCGAGCGGTTTTAGTTTTTAAAAACAAAATTTCTTTTTATTTAAAAACTTTCACAAAAGTATCGATGAATTAAAGTCAAAATGAATACAATAATCTCAAAGGTATGAGCTCTGTATTACCTCTAGACAATAACTGGTTAAACAATGAACTTGACCCATATTTATAAGTTTAGCAGAACAATGAAACTGCAAGGGTTGCAAAGTCAGCATCTTGTCAGGATTGATAACTCGTCCACCCCTGGATGAGAACTTAGGGTTTTTCTTCAAAAAAGGCCAAAGTTCGAAACCTCGATGACTTCAGCATCTTCTTCGGGTTGGATGTTGGATCTGGACCTTCTTCTTCTTATAATTTTTCTTATTCTTTTCCATAAAATTGCAATAATAATTAAGATAATTATGAAAAGTAAAATGTATGTGACCCAATGGATATGTTCATTTACCATAGTACTAAGATTTTGATTTTCAATTTCTTCTTGTAAGTTTTCTGTACGTCTTGATAATTCTGATAATTCTTCTAAGTTAATACGTTTTGTTAAAGTCATTTTTTGTTGATAATTTGAAAATGTAAGATTATTCGGTATCTTCAGGGCTGGAACGTCAATGGGTTCTATATATTCTTGAAAATTTTTATTTGGGGTTAACTTGTAAGTATCGATTATGCAGGAACATTCTTCTGGAATTGTAATAAGATGGTTTCCTATTAATTGTTTCTTTCTTCTCCCATTACATTCTGTCTCCATTATTATAGTGGAAGTTGTCGAAATTATCCATGAATTTGATTTTTCAATTCTTTGTATTTTCGGACTATCACTGTATATTTGGGTGTGTTGACAATTATCTTGATTTGGGGAGAAATTAATAAGTTGTATTTCACATGGTTCATTTGTAGTTCTTTTTAGCACAGGATTGTAAGTGCATAAAAATTTGTTCATTTCTATTTCTGTACAGGGTGTATCAGCAAAAGAGTACCAGTTTGAGTTCATGATTATGTAATTTCTATTTGGAATGATTGTGTATAATAAAGCATTGTTCATCACTGGTAAGGGGTATAATTTGTAGTAGTTGTAAGGGTTCATTTCTATTAAAGGCACTGCTATGATAAAGTAAATATTAAAGTCCTTTTGGAATACAGATGTTTTACACAATTTCTCGTATTTTAAGATGTTCTCTAGACTTGGTTCAAATGGAAGTTTTTCATCTTTTATATATTTTTGAATTTTCCTTAATTCTTCCTTTAAATTATTTGGTCTGATAATTGTGTGGTGAATTTGTCTCATTTGAGCAAATGAAATTGCTGTCAGAATTTCTTCTAAGACGTTATTAATCAGCGACAAAGAATGAGAAAGTTCAATCACAATTGTTTGGGTTGCAAATATATGTATACAAAAACCCATATTTTTTATACTTTTTCCAAGGTCTGTGATTCTATCATTTAATTTTTCTTGATTTTGGGCTAGGGTAGTTATAGACTTTTTTGTTTCTTCTATGACCTCTTTAGTCAGGGATAAATGTTTTTCTACATCAATTTTTAATTGTGCCTCATTATTATATAGTCTTTTGAAATTTTCTTCATATCTTTCTCCATCATCAGCATCTAAGGATCCTGTAACGGCTTTTTGGAAAGTTCCTATGAAGTTGAATAGTCCTCTAGTTTGTCTAGTGTGTACTGGAGATATTTGGTCAAATAATTGGGAAGTTTTTTGAATTTCGTATACCAAAGTTTTATTTATTTGGTGAATAATCTCTATCATTGTGGGTAACTGAACTTCTGTTATTTCACAAGTCATTTTTGAGTTTACAGATTCATTTATTTCCGAAAGGATGTTGAGAATTTCGTCTTTTTCTTGAATAAATACTTCATATAAGGGTTGCAGGTTGAAAACATTGATTATTTCCCATTCTGATATTATGTTGTTGGCTTCTCCTAAATGTATTGGTAGAAGTCCAGGGTTGTCTTTTATTTCTTTTATGTCGATGTTCCTGGTTGAGGTGAGGGTAAAGGTGTAGGTGACACAGAAGGTCCTGTAACATTAGATTTTAGGTTTGAAAGGTGTACTCGTTTTTCTTTATTAGTTTGTGTTTTAACGACACATGTATTATCATCATTAATACGAATAATTTTGAAAGGGCCATTAAATTTAGGTACGGTTTTTGATCCACGTTTTTTGGGCGCTTTTACATATACTTTCTGACCAACTTTGTATTTTTCTTGGGGATTCGTTACATTTTTATTGACTCTATCTACGTTGATTCTTTTTCTATTTTCTATTCTTCCTTGTATCGTATCGTACATGAAAGACAAATTTTTTCTGTGTTCGTCCAAAGAATAATCGAATATTATTTGACTAGACTTTGTATCCATAATCTCTTTACTGGATGTATGACCAAAAATAATCTCAAAGGGTGTATGTCCCGTCGTTGAATGATTAGTATGGTTGTAGGCAATTATTGCTAATTTCATTAATTCTTCATCTGTCTTTGTTTTCAATTCTGGATTTTGTCGGAATATCCTAAAATGTTCAATTATTGTAGAATGAAATCTTTCTACGGTTCCATTCGATTCTGGATGGAAAGGTGTAGTAAAGTGAATATCAATTTTGTGGAAAGCTAGTAAATTTTTAATTTGGTTGTTAATGAATTCTTTGCCATTATCTGTTATTATCGCTGAACATGTTCCATAATGTTCAAAATATTCTATGAGAGCTCTTGCCACTTCACAAGCTTCTTTACATTTGATAGGAATTGCTTGTCCAAACTTTGAAAAACTGTCAACTAGGGTTAAATAATTTTTCTGTTCTAATGTAAACGTATCCATATATACTACTTCAAAAGGTTTCTTTTGTGTAGGTGTCAATTTCATTGGTATCTGTGGGGGGTGTCTGTCATATTTACCTTTTTGACATACATTACAATTGTTAATATATTCTTGGATAGTTGCTAACATGTTGTTCCAATAGTATCTTTGTTTTAATTTTTCGAAAGTCTCTTGCGATCCTCTGTGATTTGTTTTTCCTTCGTGATATGTTTTTATGGTCTCGTCAATTTCATCCTTTTTCCTCAAAAATATTCTCTGTTGAGTACATCTGACTAATTTGGGTCCATTATTGTTAAAATATCTTTCGTATACTCTACAAAAATCTTGATAAGCTTTGTCTTTGTCAAAATATACATAAAATGTTATGTTTTCTGTTGTATATTCTCTTAAAAGTGTGATAATTTGTTCTTCATTATCTTCTTTAGTTATTTCCGCATATATTATCTGTTTGTTATCAGTGTTCAAAGTTTTTGTTCTTTGCGGATTCATAAGGACGGTTTTTATAATTATCTGTTTTGATTTTGAATTTATTATATCGTCTAAAATTGGGATGGTATTCTGGGGTTCATCATCTCTATTTGAGTGAACTGTAGACACGACTGTTTCCTCTTCTGGTATATCAGCGAGATTTTCGGGTGGATTAAGAATTCTTTCTACTTCATCATGAGTGGGTGTTCTTAAGTCTGTTTCTCTATCAAGATCTTCTATAATTTGATCTAATTCTGGATCGTCAAAGTTTACTTGCATCGACTCTGTATCTATGGGGTTAATTTGGATTCTGGATAATGCATCTGCGTTTGTGTTTAATTTCCCTTTTTTATATTCAATTGTGAAATCATAATCTTGTAGTTTTGTTCTCCATCTTACGAATTTTGAGTTTTGAACGTCTTTTAAGGAGAATAACCACCTTAATGGTCTGTGATCCGTATAAACTGTGAATTTTCGTCCATATAAATAAGGTCTAAAATACTGGGTTGCCCAGACTAAACCTAATAATTCCTTTTCAATCACTGAGTAATTTTTTTCAGATTCATTTAGTGTTCTTGATGCGTAGCTATAGGTCTATCATTACCTACTTTTCCCTGAGATAATACGGCACCTAATGCATACTGTGAAACATCTGTTGTTAGAATAAAAGGTTTTGAAAAATCTGGATGTTGTAATAATGGGCTATTTGTCAAAATTCTTTTGCATGTTTCAAATGCCTCTACGAATTCTTTGGTGTGTTCTATTTTTGCACCTTTTTTCAAACATAACGTCATAGGTTTTGTCAATTTAGAACAAT